AGCTCTACTATACTCCTGGGAATTCTGATCATTCACATAAACCTATAGGACCATTGTCTGCCAACCCTATATATGTTCTTGGATACCCTCCCCATTTCATAGACATACCTAATCGTTTAGCCTGTCCACCCATCTATCCATCCATATACCTATGTTTGCCTTCACTGACAACACAGTACTGTATGTGCAAAAGGGTTCACATTTGTTGTCTGTACCTTCCATGTACCTCTCTATGTCTTTCTCATCCTCAATGCTGCCACTTCCAATGTTTTTAACTTTTCAATTTCATTTCACCACACTCTACTCATGAAATTGCTCTCAGCACACTTGAAATCTTAAACCCATGAACTGAGCTTCAAAATAAACATAATAAGGTGCCACTAATCTTAGTCTAAAAGGAGCTCTGGTAGCATAGTGGGTAGGGCATTTGGTTGCTAATTAGAGGGACAGTGGTTCAAACCCACCAGCCACTCTGTGGGAGGAAGATGAGGCAATCTACTTTTGTGAAGATTTACAACCTTGAAAACTCAATGGGAGTCACTATGAGTGAGAAACAACTCAATGGCAGTGACTTTGAGCTTCTGGAATCTTAGTCTAGTCAAGGAGATTGATGAACTATGATTATAGTGATTGCCTTGTCATTATTTCCTGTTCTGAGTTATAATCAATGCTGTTTTCATGAAATGTGAAATTTTTTCCATTGACCTATAATTTATCTTTCCAAAGTCCTTAAAACCAAAATTTGGCATATATATATATGTATATATACATAAACACGAAGGTATTAAAATTAATCTGAAAAATAACTTTGAACCATTAAAACATACAAATTATTGTTGGACACAGTGTCTTTCTTGATCTTTAGCTATAGCCTTTATGATAGTAAGTGCTGGATGATATTTTCTAAGTTTACAGATGTTTTATAAGACTTTTGTGTTAACAACTCTAACTAATCAGTCACAATCAGAAAAGTAGGAGGAAAAAATATCTGTAAGCCTGTTTGGAAAATCACTTCATATCCAGCAATCAGTTGTACTCAGTCAGTATGCTAATACTGAAGACAGTTTAGAATGAAAAAGTAAACCAAAAAAGACATGAGAAAATCCAAAATGGTTATCAATATTCATGCAATCAATCCTGAACAAAAGTCCTGAACAAATATCCTTAAATTAGGGCTTTTTTTGTTCTTATAACATAGATCATTTCTATTCTTTTATTAACCAGTTTCCTCCTCTACAAGAGCTTAAAATCAGCAAAACAGAGAGAGGATCCATGGAGGCACATCAGCAGTGGCAAGAAAGGTAGCTCACAAAGCAGAAAGATACGTAATGACCATAAAAAAGTATGCCTGAGAATTCAAAAAAACATAGTGATCTGGAGTCACATTTTTGGAGGAAGCTTATCTAGTTTATTAACTCCTAGATACATGAATTACCACAACCTAGTACAATAACTGAGATGCATAATCATAATGTGAGTAACTAAAAAAGATTAAATTATGTCTATTATATATAGATTATTTCAGAAAGCATGTAGGCAAAAGATTTCTCATAAAATAATTCCTGGTATTGGTACATGGAATGCTATAATTTAACTGGAAAAGTCACTGTGTAGTAATATTATTTGTTAGTAACACCAGAAAAGGGAAATATTATTACATATTTTTAACATACTTGAGGTTTATTTTTTCAGTTACCAATATCATTTTTGGATACACAATTGGTTTTTTATTAGATATGCAAATTTCAAAAAACCTGCTAAATTAAGTCTTATTTCTTGTTGTTGTTGTTGTTAAGTGCCGTCGAGTCGTTTCCGACTCATAGCGACCCCATGCACAGCAGAACGAAACACTGCCCGATCCCGCAC